GTTCTTACATTTATTGATTTTAATCTGCTAAATAATAAATATCAATTATTTTATTAATTATCAGCTATTTTTGCATTTTTATCAAGGTTTCTACTGAACTACCAAACAAACAACAACTCAAACAGCAACTCAAAACCGAGTCTTAGTACTATTTTCCGAATAGCAACTCAAATACTTCATTTCAGCAGCAACTCTTTTTTTAAGGTAATAGTAGGTAAACAAATCTAGGAGGACAACAGGGAAGACTCAAGCAAGACCAATATTCATCTAAGCAAAGAAAAATGGATAAACATTTAATGCTGATGGACAAAAATAGTAGCAAACATCTAAACAAAGAGCCTAACCAAATCAGAAATAGAACAACTAAAAAAATAGGAGTGAGGCATGGAGGAGACAGGTTCAACAACACGTAGAAAACAGTACAAATTAAACAAATGAAAAAGAATACTAACAGCTTCAATCCTAGTTCTAGATCGAATATGCCGTCCTCAAAGCAGAACCAATCAATACCCAGCACAGATGAACCTCATTGACTTAATTTTGTCCATTCAATACATCATCATAGCAAATCTAAATAACACAGTAAAGATGATATGGAAGAGCAAATATCAGAAGCAAAAAGCAACATCAGGAAAATGTAAAATATCATAAAGTGAGCAACGGGACAGGGGCGGCCCAGCAGAATCAGATCTGGTTGACCCGTCCTAGCCACACAGTCCCCTAAGCACTTCAATCCAGAGAGACTTGATGAAAACTTAAAAGGAAAATAGAAACAGACTTTGGCTTCCCTTCTTTTTGCTTAAGGCAAAAACCCTACATTTAACACCTCAACTAAAAAAAATATAAGCAAATAAATTAAACTAAAAAAATAAATCCTCCAATTGCACAACCTAAGTCCTTAAAAGAACAAACGGAATTAGAAGTATTTAATGGAGTTACCTAACAGAGATTGGAGGTGAGATCTGGACCTTGAGAGTAAAGTCTAAACTGCTGAATGATACTGGAATCCGATCTGACATTAAAACACAATCAGGCAGTCGATAAATATATTTTTAAGTAATAAAAGACAAAATATATTTACATATATATATTATGAACTATGAAGTAAAAAATAAAATAAAAATAAAAATCAGGCAGTCGATATTTGTTGTTTATGCAGACAAATCACAATCAGAAAATGAGAAAAACAACCAAACAATAAACAGATCTAAAAGAAGCAAGATCTCATTCTCATAAAATCTATTTTCTTGAGAATAGTATTTTCAAGAACAAAATGATTCGGAAAAAACTCAATTAAGGAGTGCATCAAAAAAACAATGGATCCACATAGATAGCAAGTATCTACTCGATTCAAAGTGAAGAAATTTTTTTTTTTTTTATACATAAACACCACTTGCACTCCCTTCACGTTTTAAACAAAATTCATTAACTAGGATTTGAGAGGAAAAAAAAAACAGAGAGTAGAATGTGGACGAGCAACAATCGAATCAAAGGTAGAAAAAAGAAAGGAAAGAAAACATACAGAAAACGATTCGATGAAGTCCAAAGAAGAGGAGACAGAATTCTGCAGAACCCTAGCCCAGAGTTCGAACAATTGCAGAGGGGGACGGCGAGCTGTTTAGCGAGGTTTTATAGAGTGCAAGCCCAGAAATGTTAGGATTTCTCGAGTTATTACGATAATAACCTTGGCATTCTTATTTAATCACAGGGCATTATGGACTGGCAAAATTTATTTATTTATGATTTATGATTTTTCTGACCGTGTGGCCGTGAGGTACGGATTAATAAATTTTTTTAATATTAATTGTTATTACAAATAAATTTTGATATTTATTTAATTTATTATTTAATTAAAATAATATATGTAATATTAATAATAAAAT